TTTTTATAATAGTCAAAGTGATTATTTAAGTAACCTCCGGAGCATAGGTTTCAGGGCGTTACAGTACGGGTCTGGCTCGTACTACTATGGGTTGCGGCTAGCTTGGTCATTCCTTAGGACGAAGCTCCCCGAGGATTTGAAGCCTATAGTGGAGGAGTTAAAGACTGTGAACGAGCTCGCTAAGGACCTCGAGCTATCCTCCTCCGAGGGTGATGGGGACGATGATGACGATGATGTTGGAACCCCCGACAATGGAGGGGAGAGTGACCACATCGACCTAGACTAGACCCTTCCTCGACCCCGAGTCTGACATTTTTGTAATAATTTTTCTTTTGCTAATGTTATCTGCTCGATCTGGGCTTATGTACTTATTTTGATTTTGAATATATTCAAGTTTATTGCTCGAACTGGGCCTCTGTCTTTTAGAGGAAATTTTATTAGTTCATGCATTTTATTATTCCTATGAGATCGTGCGTTGATCCTGTATTGTAATTTTGAATTCGAGTTTACATTATAATTTAGAGTTCGGTTGTTAGTGAATGTGTCCTAATCTTTAAACTTATAGCTCGTGCGCGTGGGGTATTTCGGGTGTCTTTTTTATCGCCGAACTATGAACAGATTGATCCTTTAAGACAATAATGGTCGTTGGGCGTCAATTTTTGAGTTTCGTGGTGTACCTTTGGGAGAAATTAGATCGCGCACTAGTGTTGAACCTTTGTCCATATTGAGGGTTGAACCCAACATCTAAGTTCGGTGGTGTATCGTTGGGAGAACCAGATCGTGCACTAGTGTTGAATTCTTGTTCATATCAAGGGTTGATCCCAACATCCAAGTTCGGTAATGTATCGTTGGGGGCAACTATAATAATTGAGCCGACCTCGATCTTAAAATTCACGCATCGTCAAGCATTCTGGGATCTTCAAGGTCGGGGATAACTGTAAGCGCAAAACTGCAATGACCCGACCTCGATCTGACGATTATTTCGTTTCACATCATTCTGGGATCGATAAGGTCGGGCTTATATGCTCAACCCATAACAGCTTGAGGTCGCGTGTGGGATTGGTAAACGTACTAGCTGCATGCGTGAGGCACGACCTTACGCCAATTTAGTAAAAGTTATTGGTTGCATGCGCAGGGCACGGCCTTACGCCAATTTAAGTAAAGGTATTAGCTGCATGCACGGGGCACGACCTTACGCTAATTTAAGTAATGGTATTGTATTAGTTGCATGCGCGGGGCACAGCCTTACGCCAATTTAAGTAAAGGTATTAGCTGCATGTCCGGGGCACTTAAATGTATTAGCTGCATGAGCGAGGCATGTCCTTACGCTAATTTAAGTAAAGGTATTAGCTGCATGCGCGAGGCACGACCTTATGCTAATTTAAGTAAAGGTATTAGCTGCATGATCGAGACACGGCCTTATGCTAATTTAAGTAAAGGTATTAGCTGCATGCGCGGGGCACGACCTTATGCTAATTTAAGTTAAGGTATTAGCTGGATGCATGGGGCACGGCCTTACGCTAATTTGAGTAAAGGTATTAGCTGCATGCGCGGGGCACGACCTTACGCTAATTTAATAGGGGATCAATATCATAAAGAAAACTTCTTATGTGTTATTAAAAAAGGCTCAAGGGCGTTGCATACCCGAGCTTATTTGAGCATGAGCTAATGGGGCATTAGGGCCCGAAAAGTAAAAACAAAATTAAGAAAACATCAAGCGGTCATGCAAGCCCAAAAGGAAAATTATAGCTATAGCTAATCACTTGTAATATATTTTCAGATTGTTGGCGTTCCATGGTCTTGGAAGTGGATTCCCTGATGTATCTCTGAGGCTATAGGCTCCACCTTTAAGTTTTCTTATGACCTCGTAGGGTCCCTCCCATGTTGGCCCAAGTTTCCCTGGTTGGTGCCCGCGGCTTCTGCTTTCCTTAGGACAAGATCGCCGGCTCTAAATCTCTTGTTCTTGACCTTCTTATTGAAGTGCTTTGTCGTTCTATTTTGGTAACTTGCAGTCCTAAGGGAAGCTTGCTCCCTTACCTCTTCAAGTAAGTCGAGATGCTCGGTAGTCTATGTCTCCTTATTTGTCTCGAGCTTTCTTATTGTGGGGAGGCTAACCTCAATTGGAATGGTAGCCTCAAGTCTAAAAGCAAGCATGAATGGCGTTTCACCAGTTGCTGTCTTGTGTGAAGTCCTATATGCCCATAGTATCGAAGGCAACATGTCAGGCCAGTCACCTTTGGCGTCTCCTATCCTTGTTCGGAGGTCCTGCAATATGATCTGATTAGTTTCTTCGGCTGACCCATTACTTTGTGGGTGTGAGACCGAGGTCAGGTGATGATCAATCCCATTGCTGGCGCAGAAGTTCTTGAACTGGGGATTGTCGAATTGCATATGATGGACTTTCATATAAATGATCTAAGCTTCGATTCTGAAATTGTTGCTAGAGGTTCGGCTTCTACCCACTTTGTAAAATACTCCACTACCACAGCTACAAATTTTAATTGTCCTTGGGCCAAGGGAAAAGGCCCAAGAATATCAACTCCCCATTGCTCGAAGGGAGCTGAGTAATGAATGGATGTCAGTTTCTTAGCAGGAGTATTTATGATGTTGCCAAACTTTTGGCACTTGTCGCACTTCCGAACGTAATGTGTCGCATCTTTCTTCAGACTTGGCCAGTAGTATCCATACCTTATCAACTTATGTGCAAGAGCTCGGTCACTTTAGTGATTTCCACAAATGCCTTCGTGAATTTCAGTCATTGCTTGAAGGGACTCAGAGGGTCTGAGACATCTCAAATAAGGGAGTGTAAGACTTCTGCGGAACAGGACTCCTTCGATTATGCAATATCTAGCAGCTCTATACTGAATGCTTCGGGCGAGCCGAGGGTCTGCAAGAATTTTGCCATTACTTATGTAATTAACTATTGGATCCATCCAGGAGGGCTCATGGTTGATGTCCATGATACTTGGCTTCTGGGCTATACTTGGTTCTGCAACCATCTTGATGTGCACAATTCTAGCGAGCCCGTCAACACCCATGAAGACGAGTCTGGATAATGCATCGGCTTTGGCATTTTCAGCTCTAGCTACCTTCAGAATTTCACAACTTACGAACTGCCTCTGGAGGTCATGTACTTTCAAACAATATAAGCTCATTTTTTTCATCCTTTCTTTGGAAAGAACCCTCGATTTTCCCAACCACTAGCTGTGAGTCACTGAAAACTTTGACATGCTCACACTCAAGATTTTTCACGAGTTATAGGGCTATAACAACGGCTTCGTACTCTGCTTCGTTATTGGTAGCCTGGAATTCAAATCTGAGAGCGCACTGTATCTCCGTGATCTTGTCTGGACTTGTGATAATAACGCCGGCCCCCGAGCCCGAGCTATTGGATGTTTCGTCAACAAAAATTTTCCATATTCTTGAGGTCAAGTTCGGTGCTTCTAAGGATCTCGGAGTAAGCTCTGCTATGAAGTCGGCTAAAGCTTGGGCCTTGATTGTAGATCGTGGCTTGAATTCTATGTCAAATTCACTGAGTTCAATTGCCCATTTCAGAAGTCTTCCTGAGACATTTGGCTTTTGAAGTATATGTCTGAGAGGTTGGTTGGTGAGCACAACAATTGGATGTGACTGGAAGTAAGGCCGTAATTTTCTAGCAGTCATTGCTAAAGCAAGGGTGAGCTGTTCCGCAAGTGTATATCGTGTTTCTGCATCGAGGAGCACTTTACTTACATAGTAGATAGGTTGTTGAACTCTTCCTTTTTCCTTTACCAAGACACCGCTTACTGCGTTCTGAGAAACGACCAAGTATAATAGTAGCGTGTCACCGGGTTTGAGTTTAGTAAGGATTGGAGGCGTTGATAACATCTGTTCAAGTTCCTGAAAAGCTAAGTTGCATTCCTCGTTTTAGTTGAACCCTTTATTTTCCCTAAGTAGTTTGAAAAAGGGGGAGCACCTGTCAGCTACCCGGGAAACAAACCTGTTTAGTGCTGCTATGCGATTTGTCAACTTCTGAATGTCCCTTTTGCATTTAGGGGCCTCCATACTTATCAGAGCTTGGATTTTATCGGGATTTGCCTCTATTCCTCTGTGCGTGATCATAAAACCCAAGAATTTTCTAGATGCCACCCCAAATGCACATTTTGATGGGTTGAGCTTCATGTTGTACCTCCATAATGTAGCAAACACTTCCTCTAGATCAGAAACATGGCTATTCAACTGTTTGCTCTTGACCACCATATCATCCACATACGTTTCGACTATTTTCCCAATTAGCTTGGCAAAGATCTTGTTCACTAACCTTTGATATGTTGCTCCAGCATTTTTCAGACCAAAGGGCATGACCCTGTAGCAGTAGATGGCTAAATCTGCCATGAACGAGGTCTTCTCTTGATCTTCTTCTGCCATGAGAATTTGGTGATACCCCAAGAAAGCATCCAAGAAGCTGTACAACATATGACTTGACGTGCTATCTACGAGATTGTCAATTCTAGGCAGGAGATAACTGTCTTTGGGGCATGCTTTATTTAGATCTGTGAAGTCAATACAAACTCGCCACTTTCCATTAGCTTTCTTGACAAGAACCACATTGGCAAGCCATTCGGGATATCGTACCTCTCGAACGAACTGTGCATTAAGGAGTTTGGTAATCTTATCTTTTATGACTTCTCGTCTTTCCGGTGCAAACTGCCTCTTCCTTTGCTTCATAGGTCTTGCTTCCGGGTTCACGTTAAGTCTATGTATTGCAACCTCTGGATCAATTCCAGGCATGTCCTCAACATTCCAAGAGAATACATCAATGTTCCGGGAGAGACTGCTTAGAAGCTCAGCCATGACCTCTGTATCTAACCCCTGACCAACTATCACTTTTCTTCCAGGCTTGATCTCGACCTCCTCCAATCTTTTTACCGGAGCCAGCCTTCCGTAATTTTCGTGCTCGAGCTCGAGCTCTGTAACTTGCATGACGTCATTTTTAATTTTCCAACGCTAGTCACATAACACTATCGGGCCACCGTTTGGTTGCCTCGGACTACCCCGATGCCATTAGGAGTAGGAAATTTCATAGCCAGGTGAAAAGTTGAGACAATAGCTCGAATTTTATTGAGCATTGGTCTTCCCAATATGGCGTTGTAAGCCATTGGCATACGGACGACTTCAAAGGTAGTGATTTGCGTCACCTGTTTACCTTCGGCTCCCAATGTTAAGGGTAACCCGATGATACCTTCTGGGGTGATGACCGTACCTCCAAACCCTTGGAGGGGTGTTTTCACTGGCTTTAGTTGTTCTGACGAGATCCCCATTTGAACAAAAGCTTCGTGAGACAGCACGTTTGCTCCACTTCCGTTATCTACTAGAATTCTCTTGACTTCAAAGTTGGCGATGATGGCCGATATGACAAGGGCATCATCATGGGAGAATGCCATGCCTTCCAAGTCATCCATTCCAAAACTGATGTCCTCTGCATGACCAAGATCTGGTCTTGAGATGATTGGTGGCTGCCTGGCATACTGTTTTCGCCCACTGCTAGAGTCCCCTCCTGAGGCTGTTCATCCGACAATGATATTGATAGTGCCTGCAGTTGGTTGCTTGTTTCCCCGATCCTCTGGGCCTTTTCCCTGTTCTGGTTATTCGTCGGGCATTTGTCATTGTTAATGTAAGAGCTCAGAAATCCCTTTCTCATAAGAGCTTCGATTTCCCGCTTTAAGGCCAAACAATCTTCTGTTGTATGGCCATGATCTCTATGGAAATCACAGTATTTACTCTTGTCACGAGTATCGGGGAGAGACCGCAATCGGGGAGGCCATTTCAGTTCCCTAGAGTCCTTGATTTCCATCAGGATGTTGGACCTCGAAGTGTTCAGATGGGTAAAAGCCGTTGAAGGTTGATCCTTTCTTAGTTTGACCCTAGGTGTCTCTTGTCTTAAGTTGGACTCATGTGGCCTTTTCTAATCCAACCTCCCTGATGATGTAACTTCCCTTTTTGGGGCCATGGTTTCTTCCATATTGATGTATTTCTCAGCCCGTGTGAGTAGCTCGGTTACTGACTTCGACGGGGTTTTAGACAAGGACATTTTGAACGCTTCGCACTTAATGGCATAAGTTAGAGCTGAGACTACAGCTGTGATATGTAGATCGGGGATCTGAAGCCTTTCTTTATTGAACCTAGTCATAAAACTGCGCAGTGTTTCGTTGGGTTCTTGACGCATCTGCATGAGCGATGCGGCTGTCTTTCTGGTTCGTTTGTTGCTTGCAAAGAAAGCGGAGAACTTATCAGCCAAATCTGAGAAAGAGGTGATGGGGTTAGGTTCCAATGTGGAAAACCAATCTCTAGCCGCATTCCTGAGGGTTTGGGGAAATGCCTTGCACATTACCGCATCTGGTGCAACCTGTAAGTTCATGATATCCATGTATACATTGAGATGATTGATGGGGCCGGTTGTCCCATCGTACTCCTTTATCCGAGGATACTTGAACCTATCGGGAAGGGAGTACAAGAGGACTTCTGGAGTGAATGGAGTATTGGGGGTAAACCCTGTTGCTGATCGAGTATTTTGTTGCATATTCCAACCCCATCGTCATCATGGACTGCATGATAAACTCGAGTCCGGGCATCTGCCATAAAGCCACCTTCGGGTGTTGGGGTGTGTGATGGATGCAAATTTCTCTGACTTAGCAGTTGGGTCAATGCAACCACCTGTTGGCGAAGTTCCTCAAAAGCTCCGGCATAAACAATAGCTTGAGGAGGTGTTGGCATCTCCGACGACTCTTCTTGAGGAATATGGTGTTCCTCAGGAGGTGGAGGGTTATCTAGGATAGATGAGCTTGCTGGAGAAAGACCTGAACGTGTATTGACCATGGCTTTTGGTAGCGAAGTTCCCACAGATGGCGCCAATGATGCTACCAAAAAATATCACCTTAAGATCTCGAGCTTGATGACTGGGATGGAACACGAACTGCGCCTTCCAGTACCTGAAACAAAGGCAATGAGGCGTGTACTCGTCGCCCCTCCAATGCTTAAGTTAGATAGGAAATTTAATGTGTGAGGCTATAAACTGAGGATAATAATGAAGAACGTATCTTTGGAATGAGCACGTGTTGTGTATTTATAGGTGTCAGTGGTGGAGTCTTAGGAGGACTTATTTTGCCACAATCTTCTCCTCGTAGGAAAAGGAGTTGGTGTTTCACCTCAAGTATTCAAATCACTTTTCGAGTCAAAGAAGTAGTCTAACAAGGTAGGGATTGTGTTCAAGGTAGGATTAGTGCTTCCATAGGTCACATATGAAGGTTGACGAGTCGACACATGCACCTTGACCTTAAATGCCCGACCTTGTTTTGGTGTTTTTAGAGGATGCATAGGTCGGGGCTGTAGGGTGTGATCGGGGTCAAGTGGTCGAGTTCGAGACTAACGAGATCTGGAATCATCAATAAGGAATTAATAAAAGTTTGGTTTTTGTCAAATTATGGATGATTGTATTGGATTTCGAATCCACTCATTGCTATCTATTCAATTTTTGATTTGTAATCTAATTTTATTTATGTGTTCTTGACAATTGATAAATCTAATATATTTAATTTTATTTTTCAAGACAAATTAATTATATCCTAACCATGATTGGAATTGATTCTTAGCCCGAATTCGAATGATTAGAACGCATTAAAGTTTAGATCATCTATATGACTGCATAAGTGATAAATGTTATTCCTAACATCTATTACACATACACTAATTTTGTCATGTTCTAAATTTATTGCGAGTCTTCCAACACTATAACATGCAACTAATTATCTGATTGGTGGCCAAACAACTAAATAATGCAATGAATACGTAAAATTAATCAAGAAACACAAGAATTAAACTAAACTATTAGTCTTGAATTAGAAATAAATAATAAATAATGTTCATCTTCATTCAATACAAAAGTCAATCTAGTCCAATAGACACAATAGTGGAGACAAAAGAATGATATAGAACGTACAAATGTACCCTTTTTATATATAGGCTGATTGGTATGAATACTATGTACAAATGCAAATAATTTGATGATAAACTAAAAATTAATTACATGATAATGAAATGAATAAATTTCAAAAAATTATAAAAGGAAATGTTCCATAGTTTCACACTTAATTAAAATTTAATTTTTTAAAGAATTCCTTATATAAATTAAAAATAACGAAGATTTTCAAATGACTCCAAACTTTAAAAATTATTCAAATTCAACAAAAATAATCTGATCCAACTTGAATTGGGCACAAGCCCAATCAACCGACCCAACCCAAACTTGATCGGTTTGTGTTGGGATGTGTTTAAACTAATAATTGGAATGGGTTGGGTTGGGTTGGGGCTGGATAAAAAAATCAACCCAATCCAACCTACACCTAACCTGCAATGTAGGCACCTTTTTTTAATTAAATTAAAAATTAAGAGAAGATCAGAAGAATAATATACATTTTTTTTTTTTAAGTTCTCTCTTTTCTTATGTATATTTCGGCCACCCATGTGCCCATATATATGCACAAAAGCCTTCTAGGGGATGGCAAATGAGTTGAGTAACTAGTTAGCTTACCCACTCGTCTCGTCGGGACTTGATTGATGAGTCGTTCAAGCTCAAGCATGAACCATGTGACTCATTCGAATGAGCTCAGCTCGATGAGCGACTCATGTGTTCGCCTATAAACAGTGACCAATGGTCACTTTTTCTGAGATGATCACTTTCAAAAGTTTTGTGACCATTTCGTAATGATCACAACACTTTTAAAAATCCCCAATGGCCACTATATATATATTACAAATTTATAAATGCTCCCAATTTCAATCCATTTTCATACCAGTTCTCTACAGTCTAATAACTCACTCTTAAGTTTCAATCCAATTTAATTCATCTATTCATTCTCATTTTCCATATTTTTCTCACTTCCATTACATATTTACATTCCATCTTTATACTACCATAATTCTATTTCATACAAATGGATCCCAATTCTTATGTTAAGGGCTTATTCAATGGCAATTCACATATGACATCATAATCTCAGTTTCATAATGGATTTTTTGATCTCAACAATATCCTCATTCCCGACGATTTGGCCCGTTTGGGCATTGACGATGCTCATGGAAGTAATACCACGTATAGTCCTTAAACTTTCATTATAATTATAATTAACTCCAAAAACTTTGAATTAATTACAATTGAGTACAAAACTTTTTTGAGCTACCATATAGACCTGTTCGAATGTAAATCATTCAAGCTCCAATAATTAGTAAATATTTCTATAGTCTTCTTAGAGTAAATGAACGAAGATTCTCCTCTATCAAATAATGGATTGAGAATTATCAAGTGGCTTGAGCAAGGTTGCAAACAGAATAAAAGCACATGTTTGTGTATGCAATTGACTTGAAGAAGGCGATCTTCCAACCCTTTCACAAGCATTTATGTACTATAACCTTATTTTATTTATTTCATTTGTACAATGTAATTGTATTTATTTAATATGTTTTTTTGAAAAATTATATATAAAATAATAATTCTTATATAATTTTAATTCTGCCTACGTGTTATATAATCCATCTCAAGTTAGGATAAGAGAGATTTTTTTTTTAAATTACATTTATTTCTATCAAACATTTTCTACAAAATTGATTTTTTCAATTAAGTCGTTTACAATTTTTATTTTTTGACTATGTTATATGTTATGTTCCGTAAAAACAATAAGTAACTGTCATTTTAAAAAAATTTTAAAGACTTAAGTTGGCTCAATTGGTGGGCAAGCCGAACCAACCTTTTTCTTAAGGATTGTGTCATACTTGACATACAGGTTTATATAATGCCGCATAGTATTTTATTATTAGGCATTTTAAAACACAATCATCTCTTCTATCCAATCACCTCTTGCCACATATCTTTCAGTTACTACTACTGAACGATTTCTTTGATAAAGTAGATTCATCATTTTTTTTTAAACGAGCATAATTGAGCATGAGTCAGCTCAACTTGGCCATTAATATCATAAGCCTCAATTTGACAAATTCATAAAAAGGAATAGTAGTGGATGCGTCAAAATATGTGGATAATAATGAGTAATAATTATAAATATATGACTGAATTAAAGTTTGAATTTGATTGAATTTCTAAATCATTTATAAATTTCCTTTTGAAGGGAGGCTAAATGAGCTCGATAGCAATCCCTTTATATGGCTTCATTTGTCCCTTTTTGCAAATTTCGATAATTTGTCAGCCTTTTGTCATCTTAATTTTTTAGCCCAACTCTTCAAATTTTGAGTATTACGTTGTTGTACAATACAACAATAATTGTATTGAAATTTTTTTTATCATTTATTTAACAAGAAATATACTAACTGTAAAGGAATTTTCGTTTTCCCATTTAGCACTGCAACTCAATGTTATCGGGAAAATCATTATATTGAAAACTCTATGATATAAATTCATCATGGTTTATTTTCATTATTTGTCAATAGAAAATAAGTGTGTGAAAGTTTAAATTTGTAGAACTTTAAAAGGGAGCTGCTATTTTCATATAATTTTTAACCTTATGTAAATTTACTTAAATAGACAAAAATAAAATCAACCAAAATCCATCTTCCTAAATTCCTCTATTAATATTTATTCTCATTAAATAATTTTGAATTTTATACCATCCTCCAATTGTTCACCCACACATGAATCCAAAACTCAATGACTCACATCACATGACATGCAGTATGAAAGGTCATGGGATTCATTTGGTAAATGGTAACTACGATGCCACATATACACTAAGATTTTGATTCTCCATTGGCTCTTATCTGAATCTTATTCAATTATTCCTTTTTGTATTTTTTTTTTTTTTGCCTCTTTCTGATATATTTTTGAGTTCTTGACAAAATTACTTGGATTTGATTCAATAATCCTATATGACTTTTTCTTTGATTCAACTGTTGGAGGAAAGAAGAGCATGTGGATAGAAGGATGAAATCAGCAAACTCTAAAAGATATAGGAAACTTGGTTCCTGCCCCAATTGTTGAGGAGAAGCCCCAAACTCAGATCTCTCAAACAGGCTATAGTTTTTTGATTTTGTGTATGTTGGAACTAAATTGTAATCTTTGCTTTCAGGAGTTTCTGTGCTCAATTACTCGAATACGCACAGCAGCCATTGAAAAGAATATTAAGGTAAATTCTTGAATTTTCTAGTGTTTAAGAAATTTTTGATTATTTGCATGTATACATAAAAAGTAATAATTGATTTCTGTTAATTTAAGAAAACCCATAGCAATAATTGTGTGGGACAGATATATAAAAAGTGATGTGGATATATAATATTTAAGTGAATAAATTTAATAAGGATAAGGATAATGTTGAAATGTAATGTGGATAGATATAGTATTTTCTTTAAGTTTTAATAGAAATA